TCAGACATGGCCCAGTCGCGCCCTCAATGGCGCTCGTGCATCCAAGCTATTGCCTTCAATGCATAGCTCCTTTTCCAACCCACCCACTTGACAGCCCACTGACAGTGGTGGATTTATGCACCAATTTATCAGCTCGCGTGTGCAATGCGCAGCTACCTACCCCCCCCCCAAATCATCGGTGAACGAAACTGTGGCAGCTACAACCACTGTACGACGAGTACGCGGTTCTTACAGCTGACAGTAATGATGATGATGAGGACGAGGCCTAGATACTGCCAGGTTACCTAAGCCTAGATTGGAGGAGTCGAAATGTTGGGGTTAGGATCCAAACACGGATCTTCCGGTCGGTAAATTCGTGCCTTAATCACTAAGCTATCTCTAGTTCAAGGTGAATACAATGAACAAAAGGGTCGAGAATGAGTGTGAGCTTTCATGGAAGTGAGGAGTAGGATAGGTCAGAGTTGGCTGTCTTCATGTGTCCAGTCGAGTAATGGAGATTCAGCTCGTGAACTGAGGGCTATATCCGCAACGCGCTGCAGCATCTGGGGGGATAAATAGGGACGGTACCGTGAGTTTTCAACTGTGCGTGTAGCTTGTCTTTGGGTCCTAGAAGTGCGACAGATGTCAGTCTGGGCAAGAGCGGCTTGCTGACCGATCTGCTCAGTTATTTCAATTTTTTTAAAATTTTTATTCCAGCATCCTTTCTTTCCTCTACATTTTACTTTCTGCTATCTTCTCCAGATTTGTTGCGGACAGGACCACACACTTCTTCTCAGCATAGACGGCGTGGTTTACGCAGCTGGTCTTGGAACGGACGGTCAAACGGGTCTCGGTCATCTCAGTTGTACAGATCAATTTCAGGCAGTCGGGGGTGCTCTTCGGAAGGTTCATATAACGTGAGCATTTCTCCATTTTTAGCCCTTCTGAATTTCGGCTGTTGAAGCTAATCTGAGATCCAAGATCAAGCGTTCCAGTATTCGAAGTTGGTGCAAGAGTATCACGAGAAAACCATCGTGGCATCAGCCGTAGCATCCAAGCTGCTGTCTGACAATTTTGCACAGGTTGATCAATCTCCAGGAGGGACGAATTTATGCGAGCAGAGCTTGGTTTCTACCTGGAGGAGGACGCATACTCAACAACGGTAGTTTTTCCTGACCTGGAGACTGCTTTTGATTCTTCTAGCGCCGGAGACCGTGGTGATCACATGTCCCTTCGGAATTTCTATCCATTATTAATGCACTGTAGACCAACTGCAATGTGCGTAAAGCCTGAGTTCACCACGTCGAATTATGTAGGACGAGACTGCTGTTACTTCCAAAAGAGGGTCTAAAACATGTACATATAAAGTATATGCGGTGACAACACTCTGGAGATTTCGACGCTTTCTGGACGCGCCATTGACCAGCATTTGTCGGATAATAGATTATGTTTGGTTGTTGGGTCCACACTTTCGGGCCTTAATGTTGAACTGGCGTGCGTCCCGATCTTCTGATCAATCACTTGCGGGATAGGCTTCTTGACCGTAGCAGGGCCTAACTGCGAGCGGTAAAGCGGTGTTGGTGCGGAATTCCGCCTAACACATGCCTCTTGAAGTTTGTTCACGTAGCTTTGAAGTCGGGTGTTCACTTGCAGTGGCCTCATTGTCTTTGGGGATCCTGTCTTGTCCAACGTCGCTCGATATACCAGCAGGGACCTTTGCAACGTCTCTTCCGTCGGTCCCTCTCCTTTTGACTTCTGAAGTGCACGCTTCAGATTAGCCTGGCCGTTCGACTATAGATGAAACGGCAGCGAGCGAACATGGGTTATACCATGCTCCTGACAACACTCTGCGAACACTGATGACGTGAACTGGCTGCCGATGTCGGATGCAACGGTCTCTGGCGTTCCAAAGTGACTGAACAAAGGTAGGATTTCTAGGAATATGGTAGCATTTGTGGGGCTGTGCATTTGAAGAATTTCAGGCCACTTGCCGACCACGCCCAAAAAGTTTTGGCCGCCCACTGGACTTGCATAATCTATGTGAAGACGAGACCAGGGTTCGGTCGGCTGCGGTCACGACCGCAGGTAGGTTTTTACGGAGAACTTAGATGATTGACTACACGCAAGCAAGATCTGCTAACTTTTTCAATCTGGAAGTCCATCGGAGGCCAGTAGACATAACTCCGGGCAAGAGCCCTCATCCTGTTTGTTCCAGGGTTCCCCTTATGAGAGGGATTCAGTACGGCTAGTTGTAACTCCTTGGGAATGACAACGCGTTCTGAAGGTAAAAGGTATCCTTCGACTTGTGATAATGCGTCGCGCCGTCTCAGTCCGTCTTGTGGACAGTCACGCGTCCAATGATTGTGGTGGTAGCTGGTGATCTGTTGCAGCACAGGGTCTTAGTCGATAGCCCGGTGGACCATGTCAGCAGTCACGGGGGGAATGCAAACTGCTTCCGATGCTACGCGGTTCATCTCCGGTTCCAAGGCAATTGTTGCAGTTAGTATCCTCTGGTTCTGGCCTGCGTGAATCAATGAGACGCGACTGTGCGTCCGGTTGTTAGAGGCTGGTAGTGGACTGGTACTTGATCTTGAAGTCGTTTCCCAAAGGGAAAATGGCTCTTCGCTAGAAACTTTTGGCTTAATTCGGAATCCCTTTCTTCGAGCCAAACATAGTAAGGAGCGGCTTGTGATCGCTCAGTAAGGTGAACGAACGGCCGTAGGACATTTTATGAAACATCTTGACGGCAGACACGATCACCAAAGCATACCTTTCTATCTGACTATATTTGAGCCCGGCTGGTGTCAAGAATCTGGCTGCAGGGATCTGGCTGCTCTAGGCAAACACGTGAAATCACTGCGCCAATTCCATAGTTTGAGGCATCCGACGCCACAACGATTTCCAGTGACGTATCGCAGTGAGTAAAAAGCAAATCGGAGCTCAGCATGGGTTTGGGAGTGGAATGCACGTTGGTACTCCTCTGACCGTGTTCACTTGTGATTCTCAGTGAGTGGCTGGTTCAGTGGACCTCGGAGGCGATGCATGGCAGCAGAAACTTGCTGTAGTGACTGACGACACCGAGGGAAGACTTGAGGGTTGTTACGTCTGTGGGTGCTGATATACGTTTTGTGGCGTCGATGCTCTGTATGGAATAGTTGCAGGCTAAGGATGGGTGGTGACTTTTGATTTACTGATCAGTAATTGTATGGACAATTACTGATGGTGTGTACTTTCCCACTCAAGCACTGTGTTACTTAGGAATGTACATTAGCTATCTGCTTTCGTCAGCTCAGATACCCTTCACCCCCGCGAGATTGGAACATGTTCTTTCACGGTAGCAGAATAGTGGGTCCAGCAGATTAACAAAGTTCACGACACTGACTGCCTTACTGTGGACGACAAAAAGATTGATGTAGCATGTCAGAAATCTAGAAATCTATACATTTTTACCGTCTAGAGAGGTCGCACACATGATCCTTGTTTTCTTAGTTGAGTTGGGTACTTTGGTTTAAAACGTTCTATCACTAATCGAAGCGTTATTTATGTGTGGTTCAGTAGCGGTGGGTTGTAGTTTGATGGTATGTTTACAGTGCTCACAGCGTTAAATGAGAGATCATTGGTGGTGATACATTAGTTGGGGGTTTGAAAAGGGCAGCATTCGATGTGACAGGTATTGGGTTAGAACGCAAAAGGCCGATGAACCTAGACTATCAGCATGGCCAGGATATCTAGATAAATGATTTCACTTCTCACTGTTTGTTGGTCTTCTACGCTCGATAACATTGTTGTATTTTGTTCCGTGCTCTCTTGATATGATTGCACTCTGAATAAAAAATTACGGTTGAGAGACCCAAAGAGAGTATTCACAGAAAGCTAGATTGGCCCAACCGCCTGACTTGCTAGCTGTGATGTCTTCGAGAGAATGTGATATAATAGACCGAATTAGACTTTCGGTGAAGATGGCCGGTAAAGTGTATGATGTGGTATCATCTCAGTTGCCGTACCAACGGCACATCTGCGGTCGACGGTTTGTGTGAATTTTTTGGCTTGACGATGCTTATCCGGCATAGTGAGCTCGAGATAATTCCAAACCAACCTCAGCATCTCAACTGTTCCTGTCTAGGCTTGGGCAACCTGTCAGTATCCCAGCCCCCGTGCTCTTTCCGGGTGATATTGCAATTAGGCACAGGCTAAACGACTGTTTTACTTATTTTATCCGGTATAGCTCAGTGCTATTACACCATGTTTGCATGGTCTTTTCGATCTACCTTTTAGTCAGTTATCCTCCGTCGGTGATACTGTGTTGGCTTTGTCTGAGTGCGGACGTCTATTCGCCTGGGGAAACAACGAATATGGTCAAATTTGGCCTGCTGGCGATGCGCTACAAGTTCCCGAGCCCGTGGAACTTCCTTTGGATGAGTGTGTTGTGCCGGAGGAGGCTGGTGCAAACTTTCGTGGTGTCCGCATCGGTAAAATTCTTTCGGTCGCAGCTGCTGGTTCTATGTGTAGCCTCGTGGATGACGCTGGCTTTGTACGTCAGATCGACTCACACATCTTCTTTCTGTACATGGCTTTTCCCATGGTTCCAGCTAGTGTAGACAGAGTAGCCATATTAAATACCGAAATTTCATACTGTTTATAAGACGCAAACAGAATATCTGAAACCACTAGGGTTTTCTTTTTTTTTCATATCTGAGTAAGTGTGCAACGATTCCAAGTAGGGTGTGTAGGGCTGTAACAGATATTAGGATGAAAGTCCACGACCCGCTCTCCTAAAACACTTTCCGGTTACACAGGATGACTTGAAGCAGACAGCAGGTGTTCTCGTTTTGAGATAACGAAATGGAGCACGAAATTCTTACTCTACTGGGCAATTGCTAACCTTTGAAATGTTGTCGATGAAACTTAGTTTTCCAGCCCTAGTGCCAGAACTACGTGGCAACTGTCTGTAAGTCGCCTGCAATATCTCATGCACCTTCCCTGGATGGTATTATTTGTGGCTTTTAGTCAGACGTCTCGGGGACTTTCATTACTAAGCCGACCCAGTAGACCTCCCCCCCCCGAATATTCATGAATCTTACATAAATATCCCACCACGATGAGGCACTGTGCAGGTTAGTCCGAGATTGATTGTGGGTACTCACAACGCGAAATCTGAGGCGAAATTCAAACCCTCAAACCTTCATAGAGTACCCCAAAAGACACAGAGAACGAAGGGTTTAACTCTGAACAACTGTGGCATGTTTCGGAATGTGTTATACACCTTTATGGGACCGAAGTAGATGTCTGCTGTTGTTTTACACTAGCATTCATGTTCAAACACGTATTAGAAGGACAGATCGATCAGCGCGCACCCCTGAGCAGCACTCTTTTCTGATTCGGTCTGTATTTATAACTCTGCCTGTTCAGGTTCCGAGGCATTGGGTGATCAATCCTGACAGTCTATAGAGGTATGTCATGCGGCCTCCATATCTTACTTCAGTGTACTGCTTGCTGTGGTTTGGTGAGTACGAACCTTTCAGGAAGTTATTAGGAAAATTGAACTGACAAACCTCAGGTACATACCTTTGCTTTTAATCTCCCCTCTATGGGAGCATCCCCTTTACCACGAACTTTACGCAACCGTGAGGGGTTTGCAGATAAGTCCCTCAACCGTCCCTCTGATACCGATACCGAATTTAGCTGGTACTGCACGTTGGACGCTATTGCCTTTTGGGGACGAGTTGGGCGAGTCAAGTTTTCCCTTGCGTAACTGTGTCCCCAGTCTATATAGTTCTTCGTTAGTGTTGCCCAGGTAAGAGTTTGGATAAGAGTTGTGATTGGGTCATTCTCATTGTGTCGAACCTTGAATACTTTGGAAAGCTCTCTTGATCACTGGGTATTGTGTGAATCTTTGTATTTTTTGTAATGTATGTGCTCGGCAAACATTGGTAGTTTTTAACATGCATGTCATCCATTCTACTAATGCCTGGCGTGTAATACGCTTTGCTTGATGGAGCGAATGAGATGAGATTGGATACTTAGGCGTTTGTGTTGGAAGTCTTGTGCCTCATTTCTCATGGAAGAGCGATTCTGTAAGGTCGTTCCTTCAAGAAGCCCATAAACACTTTGTGTGTGCGCGTATACATCGCTGCGTTATGCTTTTGAGAACGCCGGGGACTGTGCACTTGAATGAACGGCTTTAATGTATGCTTTTCAGATTCTAACCACGTGTTTGAAAAGAGACTATGTATGGGACCCGACCTGTTCGAGCTAGTTGTACGGTGTATTAGATGTATAGTATAAAGAGCTTTTTTCGACACAGATTATGAAAAGAATTTGCTCACAACCGTGATCGTGAGCGACCCAACGTAATCTAAAGCCTATATTGGGCGTGCTCTTGGATTTAGCCTCACAGATGATATGGCAGTATTGGAATCTTTTGAAATCCCCGTGAGACATCGACAGTTGCTATAATTTCACAATGTCCTGATTACTATCATTCTGACCTGGGACTCTCATTTGGCCCTTGTTCCAGTTATTCGTTTGGGGATTCGGCTGCATTGGGTTGGGGCCACAGACAAACTTCGCCCATCGTCCTACTCTCATTCCACCCGGATTATTTGTTCCCGCTATTCCCAAAAGTCCACAAGCACTTGTAAGTGTTACTGCTGGACTGCATCACTTCATTGCACGCAATGTCAATGGACTACTCTGGGCTTGGGGTGCCCCAAGGAGTGGTCTCTACTGCCTCGGATTGGGCGCTGAACTGGGCAAAAAGTCCTCGCGACAAACCTACCCTTTCCCCGTGAAGATTCCAGCTGAAGTGAAACACGTGTTGTGCGGTGTGGATCATTCAGTTGTGTTGGCCAAGTCGCTAGCGTGACAACCAGTCGCGACAGATGTGAACGCCCGCGGTCCTTCTGATTATAAACGTAGTATATATTTCCTGCGGATCACATCACCGTATGTGTATATACATTGTAAATATATTTTTGTACTTTGATATCTGATTGCTTTTTTATTGAAATTTTTGTCGTTCCTTCAACTTCTCTTCGCTCTGAAGATGTGCGTTTCTTCGTGGAAGGTAGTCGTGGAGAGAATTTAGCACTTGGCGGCTTATTTCGATGATGGAGCTTTCTGTTTTGGGACTGATTATCGTACTCCTATAGTGTGTTTGTGGCACAGCTATAGTCATGTACCTCCTGAAAAAAAGAACACCCTAACCGAAGAAGCAGGATGTTGTGCTGGGAATCTCACCAGTCCAAAAAACGAAGAAGATAGACGGGTTGATTTAAAGTCTGTATGAGATGAAGCAAAATACTGAGGACCACTGGCCCCAGTCACAGGACGAATATAAACCAACGGCTCGTATAACGCGACTACGACACATGAATAGGACACTAGTCAAGGCTGACCAACGTTTCGGTTCAAAATCAAGGGAGAACTGGGATAAATCTGTAGCTATTGGGGATGAAAACATTACGGTGGATCGTTCGGAAGTCGCTGTGGTAGGCAGGAACTAGAGAATTTCGTGACATCCAACAACACACAACACGGTCAAATGTCAAACTAATTAGAGAGAGCCACACATTTTGACCATCTTCATGATTTAATAACTGAACTGGCAGCAGAGATTTCGGCAGCGTGGGCACGTCCCGTAGACTTACTTTCTGATGTCCCGGCTCATTAGATGTAAGGGGACAGCTGATTTTCGGCTGAAGACTTGACGCACGAGTGTTGAGTGCGATTGGAAAACATCTGTACTCCCTGTTTCAGCTGTCAGTCGTGCGAATTTGTCACACGCTTTTATTGAAAACGGATGGATGCGCGCCTTTCGTTATACATTCGACCAGAGGCTTTCTCAAGCTAATTGCTGCAGTGAGTCTTGACGTTAGTACGCTCTAATTGATTCGTTTGTCATGAGAAAGCCGCTCCCATTTGACAACTGATCTGATCAATGTTTGCATTCTGACAGATTGGTGGGGAACATTATATCGGAGAATTGATACAATGAAGTGTTCAGAAGGTCACTGTCTATTTTTTCCGAAAGCTCCCCTAATTGAGGACCTGAGGTTTTTGTCATTATTCGCCCTAGGAGCTGTTATCAGACTGTCAAATTTGCTTTTACCCTGAGTTTATCTCATCCAACCAGTTGCACGTTATTTAGCTATCTACTTGCGATCCGTGTTAGTTTCCAGTTTTTACCCTGCCCATGTATTCTATCTTGTAACATCCAATACAGATTCAAGAAAGACGGTATTTTTAATAGTCTAAGCATGTCCATGCTTAAAATCCTGTACGGGAAACGTTGCGATTCCATGAGAAACTCCACCACAATCGAAACCTCGCTCTAATTAAGGGATTTCTCCACTTAAGCTTGGCGATAGCTCATTCTTAGTTAAATAACGCTATTGACAGCTTCACCAAGGTCACCCAGCGATTGACCTCGAAATCCAGCCTCGTGGATAGTATCATGGTGCATAATTGCCGGCCATTCAGTTAGCCCGAGTTAGCTGTTCACAGTTCCGGTACACAAGCAACCTAAAAAACCAACTACTGGCTTTTGGTGAAACAATGCAGATTAAGGCGGAGTAGCCAGCGTTATTTTCACGGGAAGGAGTAGCTCTACGGATGCCTGATTGACCTTCCTCTCTTTTGCAAATTGTACGTGTTTTTCTCCATGTTATTTCTACCCGGTTGGTGAGAGTGAAAAAAAACATTTTAGCAGTTGTTTTCCCATCCTTTTCACCCGGAGTGAACTTTGCCGGAAGCAAAATAAACGGGATCACTATAAAAAGGGGAACATCAGTTGAGTATCACCTACAATTGTTAGGTCTATTTGATTGTTAGGGCCTAAGAAACGAGTCAGTTTTCGCAGAGTTCTGTTTTATTGAAAGTTTGGGCCACGGTGGCTCTTCCTAAAAATGTCTTTTCAAAAGCGCAAAGTGCGTTTTCTCCGGACAACTACCAGATTTTTCTCACATTTTCTGTAGAAAATGGCTTCTGCCTTTCTCCACAATGGAAACGCTGTCGTCGCGCCTCGCACACCGAACGTGAGGTGATTGACCTTTGGGCGAGTACGAATCCTTATGAGGTCTTGGGTGTCGGAGAGCAGGCCACCATGGAAGAAATACGATCTGCCTACTACACCCAATCGAAACGATTTCATCCAGATCGAGCTCACGCGAGCAAGTCTGAGGAAGCGAGCGCAGAAAGTTTCCAGAAGGTTTCGGCCGCGTACAGTCTTCTCATCGACCCGGAATCCCGGCGTCTTTACGACCGCATACAGGAAAGGCAACGTGGACTTCGGAACAGATTTTATGTATGTCTATGCTATACCTCCGACTTCATGCAATTAGTTTTTCGTGTGGTTTCGGATTATTTCGGTCGGTGACAGGATCTTTTTCTGTTGTTTCCCTTCGAGTTACACATCTGCACGAAGGACGTGGTTTGGAGCTGCATTCATCGATGGCTCCTGTTCATGGTGACTACTAGACTGGATTCGACTTTCAAATCATCTTTTCGAGGCATCTATAAGTGTTGTTTTGACACATGAAAAATGAACATCTAGTTTATGTGTGGACATTTTATCTCTATTTTGAAGCATTCATATGTGTTTTCTTGATATTGCACTACCTATACAGTTGCTGGAAATTCTCCGACATCCCACAGCCGATTTCGCCCATCCTGGGGCTCATCAGTTAGACGTGGTCCTTGGGTTTCCCACAACTTTATGTTCTGCTTGAACATAAACCCGTACGCAAGTGTGCAAGTGTGTTAATTTGCGAGTTAGTTAGGTCGGGTACGACAACCTACCGGTCCATCCGACTCGGTTGATCAAGACGGCATCTGATCGTCTTGGGGATGTGACACAAATAGCCGGATGTGCTGGTGGAAGCAGTCATCGTCAGGTGTGAACCGTGTACATGTCGTACCGTGGTTATAGCTGCCACAGTTTCGTTCACCGGTGTTCTTGGAAAATATGGCTGGATAGTTATGCATTGGAAGCACTAGCTGATGTGGTTGACGCGTGAATCCAGGAGTGGTAGTCAACTGTTCATTGGGTAAAAGGGAGGGAGGCTATGCGCTGCATGCAACAGCTTGAACAGATGAGCACCATTAAGCGCGTCACTGTGTCATCTCTACCAATGTCTCCAACCAGTGATGCGTCCCGTCAAGATATGATAGCCAGATATCAGCTGTCTCTATACCACCGGCAAAAAACGGACCTTCCCGTGAAGCTGCAACCTCGTAAGTAGTTGTTATGCCAAGAACGTATACTTCGATATCTCGAATATCGCGCAGACTGAAACGTGAGGTGGCCTTTGCACAGCACGTTAAGCTGAGGGATATCACAATCATTAATTTTCTAATTAGTACCAACTTAATTGGCAATGTATTTTTAGTGGTTCCGTGACAAAACCCGCATACCGTGGTTACGGTTCGTTAATGAATGCAATAGTTGGGTGGTGTTTCGTTAATGAAACCGACGGGTTCTGTGAATAGTGTTCTTAGTCCACAATACTGCTTGGACTCCTGTACAGTAAACAATGAGTAGTTGGCATCTAATCCGAATCAGCATTGACCGTATGCTGGGCAGCGTGCTACACTGGCTGTTGAGTGAGAGGCATCCAATCGGAATTCGCTTCACGATTGATATGTGAAAGTTCACGTAAGGTAATGTCCACCGATGAGGCCGACCCAGCGAATTTGATTGGTGGACCAACACTAAGTGGAAAGTCGTGGTTCACTCACTCAACGCTTGATGATACAGCGGTAATAACTTAGTTTTTTCGTTGCTTCGTTTTCCGCGGTTTTAGCCTACGTGCAACAATGAGACCTTGTGACTCCCCGTTTCTCCAGATGAACTTATCCTGACCTGCTGTGGGTTAGAGCAACTCAGGAGAGATTCTCATAGCTCTTCTGTGCTTGGAGGCTCGAGTCCCGATAAGACTACATGAAATGAAGCTGCTGATGATCTTCACAAAACGACCATACCCTTTGAGCTTCGTGGTTTACACGCTGTTGAACATTCCGAATGAGGGTGAAACAGCTGTACAGTATCTCCAGGCTTTCTAGCATAGGTTGGCCCACTTTGACAATGAATTCATTAACTTTTCTAAGTATCCACACCAGCAGTTGAAGTTTGTGAATATGCTAGACTTCCTTAATATCTAGTGCCCTAACTATCGTTTAGAGCGTCATGCGAATATGATATAGTCATTCAGTTTTGGCTTCCTTCCCCCTTTTTTACTCAGGATATCCCGATAAATCCAGCGATGGACAGGAATCCAGACAATGAGTTCGCGCGTGCCAGCGAAATTTTTCATTCCCGACGTCCGCCATCGGCCCGAAGCTATCAGTATCACGAAAATCCAACGCCCTCTTCCAGTCCGTTTAGATCTTCGTCCACTCGGCTCACAACTAATTTACCCACTACCCAAAACATTTGGAATGGAACTGATAGTTGGAATTTCGCACGCTGTATTCGGTGGTTTGTCTGCCTTCTGGTTGGAATTACGACAGTGTATTGTACACCGGATATATGGGGTGAGAACTGAGGTAGTCATAGACAGCACTACCAATTCCCATGATAGTTTCCCTTTGTAAAAAAAGTCTTTCAGATGAAAATAATTGTCTTCTCTTTGTGGTATTTCAATCTTATCCATCAATTTTGGTGGGCCTCTCGTCTATCTATATGTCAGTGCTCCTATCTTTGCATTGTATCAGGAATATCCACATGTGCACATGAATTTCAAATGACCGCTGCCCGTGATTTCTGTTCATTATTGTAAGTTTGCGATTTGTTAGCCAGGAGAACCAGTAAGAGAAAACAAGCTTTTTTCTGTACCTTCGTCATCAGAACTTTTAGACTCAGTATTATTGTTATTACTATTAGTATCAGTATTAAAAGCTACATGCGGGAGGATGCCGCGGCGTCGCCGGAAAATGGTGAGTCGACGGGTCTGTTTAGGTTGGTTAATCAAGATGGTGGTTCCCGAGGCTTCTGCAAAGAACGGGCACGTCTCCGAGATTCACTTAATGGGGAGGTTTTGTGGATTTCAATGTAAGTTCTCCGACACCAGCAACAGCTAGTTCCTCAACACTTAAAAACAGAATAGGTCATTGTGGATGTAGGTAGGTAGTTCTCCTGCAATCAAAAATCTTTCAAGCATAACAGGTTTACATCTTGCAGGGAAGATCATTTTTTCGGAAAAGTTTGGTAGTAATCAGTAGATTTATTGCTAGGCGACGTTTCGTTTTTGACACAAATGCTTCACCATGCCAAGTGACTGGGTTACGGGGTCCGTCGAGATTTAAGGCGGAAGGTGAACTAATCAGCCAAGTCAGCTAAATTTTAGGTCAGTTGAGGGATGTGGTGTGTTCGGGTGGGTTATCAAGTGTTAGACGAATGGGGAAACCTACATGGATCTGGTTCCAGCCTAGGGTCTAGTTCTTCTGGTTCGGTCTACGTGATGATCCCTCTTGAAGGTCGTTTACACTTTCCGTCCGACTGTGTATATGAGCTAATGATACGATACTTGTATTCCGTGAAATTTGGTCGGGTTTGGATTTCCACCCCCCAGTGTTTGCCAATGATTCTACGTACGTTGACAACCACACAGTCACATGTCAATTCGGCTTAACTAAGACCGTTTTCCATACGCTCGCCAGTTCCACACCCTCGATTCTGTTCACGCTGTGATGCTTGATAATTTCCACCGCCTCGGCTATCAGCAGTTGTAGTGTGAATCCTGGTCCCCATCTTAAAACTTCCACATTCTCCAGATCTATTCTATATCTCTTGTCCTAGGCATGTACCGCCATCCCTAAGACTTCGACCAGCGTTTGGTATTCTTCCGCATTCCTTGGTGGTTTTTTTGTTCTCATCTCACGCTCACCAATTCTGGTGTGCAATTCCCTGGCAGTTTGTCCTACGTAAACCTTAGTGCAATCGTTGCAGTTAATTTCATACACAGTTCCTAGTCCTTTCAACCGAGAGATCTTTCAATTGCACCGAACGTGGCGTTTTTCCCTTCTGGAAAGCTACTCGAATGTTGACTAAGTTCAGCAGTCTTCGGCTACCCTCCGACGTTACTGATTTATTTGGAATGACTGTTGTGCAAGTTTATTCCTTACTGGTTCTTGATACCGGCACCAATATCCTTCTTAGTTGACTCCCAATCAAACTCACTGGCTATCCTATTTCTTGAAGTCTATTGACAATCTCGATTTGAGCTGGCGTTCGGTCGATCTGTTCTGTGCACAGCGCTCCGATTTGATTGAACATCGAAGAGACGACGCTGGTGTACACGGATTTCGGGTGTGCTGATGAGTAGTTTAAGACGTTCCCTGTGTTTGTTGGTTTCTGATAGATGACAGTTTTTAACTTGTGTGTTTTATAGTCCAGGAAAGATAATGTGCCCGAGGTGGACTCTATCTCCATGCTAGACTTGATGTGTGGATTTTATTTTATTTATTATCTATCATTATTATTTATTATTTTATTCAGAGCGCCGTTTTCAGTATGGTTATGACAAAACGGTGAGATGTGCACTCTGTGTATGGACACAGTAATTGTGACGCATTAAGGTGATTGAGTTGTACATGTTGAAATTATTCATACAATCAGCCAGTCAGATAAATTATTGGTTAGCGAGTGTTTTCTTCCTCACCCCGAAACCCCGTGAAATTTAATACCAATGCTTCTGGCTGTTTGAGGCCCCCATGGAGAGGTAGACTGTAGAAGATCCGTGGTAAACAGAAGTTTATGGAACACTGTTCATTCCAAATCACTGGGTTCGCTATGGTAGCTTTAGGTCGGAAACCTGTGGCGTCACCTGTGGCTTAGGCGTGACATCAGCTTCTCTTTCAAGGGTTGAGTTTACAATGCTGCGGTGCGCTCCATATTACTATATGGATCAGAAACCTGGCCGCTGTGCGCCGAGAGCATTGCCCTGGTGGGAACACCGGATCAGCAATTCCGAAGTACGTCGAATGGTATTCGGGAGAAATAACTCACCCTCGGTAGATGAACTGAACT